GCGTTGGATTGAATTAAATTGGCGAGCTGAAATGCTGAATCAATTTTTGTCATGTTCGTTTGTGGCAATGAATAACCACTTAACCAGCCCGAGAAACGCAAAACCCCCAAAGCCATTCCAGGTAGCGAAGACATTTCGTCCTTTAAGAAAATATAGAGGTAAATTATTTATTTTTTTAATGTGTGATATCAATTTTTTATTAAAAAATATTTATATGATAAATAAAATTTCAACATCACATGTTAAAAATAAATAATTTATCACAATATATAATTTAAAAAAATAATTTATTTTTATATTTTAAAAAATAAATAAATTTATCCCTAGTCCTTATTTGAATGGTAGATTGGAGGGTTCTGTTGACGGAGAAAAAGGTTAAAGAAAAGCTGATTCGTACATAAAGGAATAAATCCATTCGAAGTTCAGTTTTAAGGTCAGCGGTCTGGGTCTAGCGTAGTAATGACCAGCAGCCCAGACACAAACCCATGGCCAGGTCCAATCTTAAATTCATTTCGTTTTTATTTCTCTTTTTAATTATTTCGCACTGCATTAAAAAATTCTTAATTTAGTATTCACAAAGTATTATCCATAGGCACCTGACCTTTCAATGAACTAGCAGCTTGTCAGCTTGAGATGTATTCTCTCTCTTTCATAGGTGAGTTTCGAACCCGCTCTTAGATAACTTGTTCAAAATATATATATATATATATATATTATCAATAGAACTAAGAACCTCCAAAAAAAAAGGAAAAGTTTTGTACTTAGTCTTGGTACAAATTTTTTGCATATAGAAGTACTATTACTATTTTTTAAAATTAAAAAATAATGATAAATGACATAAATAGTTTACTAATAATTTTTTTTGTTAAAAATAAGATATCCTAAATTCAAATCCACATAACATGTGAGTGGGTGAGATAATGAATGGAAGAAGGTTGCTTTTCGGTATGCAACTAATTATAAATAAATAAATAATCATTAAAATGTAATTTTTAAGTATTTTTTTAATATAACTTTACATATATAATTATTGGTTATTTTGATTTTATTAATTAAAATTTATAATATTATATATTTATTTAATATTATAATATATACAAATTATATAAAAAAATTTATACAAAAAAATTATTTATATATCATAACACGTATAAACTTACTATTATATACAATAAGTTAAATACATTTTTTGACCCTTTTACTATTGAAAAAAGCTCTTTTTTTGTTCCTATATTGAAAAAATCCCATTTTCAGTCCTTAAATTTTAAAATTCGATTCCTTTTTAGTCCTTCAATTAACTTTTTGCTTATTTGGCACGTTAATTAATGAAATCTCTTTATTATTTTTTATATAAATAATATAATAAATTATGTGAAAATTACATGTACAAAATTATAATCTATATAAGTATTTCATCTAAATATTTTATCTACATGTATAAATTAAAAATTTTATTTATTAATTAATGAATTAAATGAGTTTAATTAGCTTTAATTTCTTCATCTTCTTCTTTCTTCATCTTTTTTCTCCTCATCCTTGGCATCATGGCATCATATAATCACCATCCTCTTCCCCTCCCTTTGATCATCCTAGGTTCCGCGTGGAACTTGGATCTGGGTTCCACGAGGAACCCAGAAACCCTCTATTTTTTTTTTCATTTTGAATGTATCCATATTCTATAATGGAGCCGAATGAAACCAAAGTTTCATATTCGTTTTTGAATTAGAGAAATTAAATTTTGGGTTGATTATGAAACTCAAATTGTCTTTGATATGTGGCTTTGAAATTGCAGGGATATATTCATATTGTTGTGTTCATGTTGCTATGAACTTCGTAACTTGATTCATTCATTATTTAGGTTTAACAGAAAAAAAGAGTTGAAAATCTATAAAGAGAAGGATTGTTTTGCAGAGAATAAGTTAAGATTAACGGTATTAATAAATCACTTTAATTAGTAATTAATTTTTATTTTTACCAATGAAAATGGTTTCATGAAAATAATTTTATGAATTATCAATTATATCTTGACTAATTTCACATGCAAAGAGTTGATTATGAATGACAAATAAGACTTTTGAAAGAAAGAAGATGATATCTAGGAAGGAATCTGAAAATTGTAGAATGTAAGTTTCATCAATTAATTATTTTTTTTCACGCGAAGAGAGTGACATAAAGGGAGGGTGGCATAAAGGGGTATATTAAGTCCACATAAGTATTTTTACATGGTGCAATATTCACATCAACAGTTCCCGTTAATTAATGTGCTAGATACGTAAAAATTTAATGAAAAAACAAAAAATAAACTAGATTTTAAAATTTAAGGACAAAAAAAGAGATTTTTTTTCGTATAAAGCCCAAAAATAAACTTTTTTCAATAATAGAGGAACTAAAAAAGATATTTAATCTATACAATATAAACTTATGAGGCAAGAGTCTCACTCAGAGGATATTTCTTACATATCACAGATGTGGTATGGTCCCTAATTTTGTTTTTAATGAATGAAACCTAAACAACTAATTCTATATATATTTTTTAGATTGTCAATTTAAGTAATTTCTTTCTATTGGCAAATGTATAGATTCTCATTAATTTCTTTTCATTTTTTTAAAATTAAAAAGTTAATCTACCAATAATTTTTTTTTGGGGGTCGTTGCCATAACTATCAATGACACAATATAAAGAACGTTAAAAAAAAAGTTTATACAATATAAAGAAATTTTAATTTTAAAAATGAAATGGAAAAGAAATGTAAAATCAGGAGAAATAGGCAAAGAGAATAAACGGTCTGCACGTAAATGGCAGCGGAGGAGGAGCTCCTCCTTTCTTTCGGAGATCTCTTTCTCTTCTCGTCTGCTACCTTTCTCGCACTTTGGGTACTTTCTTCTTTGATATCTGTACACGCTACCGTATATATATTCCCGCATTGATGATTCCGTTCGTGTTTTTGCATTAAATATTGCTTCAGGTCAATGATCCAATCAACTCTGATCTCATCGTTGAGTTTGTTTTCGATTAAGTTCATATCTTTCATGCTGCATTTGATTCATTTCTGCTAAAGGTTGCATTTTCCCCCATTTTTTTGGGTAATTTTTTCTTTTGATTAGCGGATTTTGATGGATTGGTGTAAGAATGGAATCTAGCATGCCATATTGAAACAAAAGTCTCATCTTTACATTTTTAATGTTTTTTTTTTTGGAAAAAATTGAGTGGTAGTTCTGATAATGCACTTTCAGAGCGATTAATGTGATTCTATTGTGCAGTTATTTGGTATTTGAATTGGGTTTTATTGGGTGTTGAAAAAGGTGGAAGTTTGTGGATAGGGAGAGGAGCTGTAGGGTGTTGTGTGAAGTGTGATGAATTGTGGTGGAGGGGAGAAGCAATGGAGTTGTGGAAAAGCTGGGACCTTGAATTTGCAGAGAGTTGGTTCTATAGTGCGGGAAATTGGAGAGCCTTGCCTATATCAATCATCCATACAGGTTGTTATGGCTGTAAGACTCTGTCATGGACTCTATTGTCTTTCCTTTCCTGCTGATGGCAATGAATTGACTATCCCTTTGCATTTTAAAGGTTATTTCTGAAGGATAACAAGTTTATGTAGTTGGTTGCATGATAACTCCCAAAGTGTAAAAATCTATGCTTTATATCAATTTATTGTGGCACTATGTATGGTTCATTCATTCTAGCACCTTATTTTGCAGCTTTATAGCCATTTTGTTAAATGAAAACTCCATTTGTGTCTAATTATGTTCTTTGTTCCCCCTTCGGATGTGGTTGTAACATTAATTTTTGATAAAATACTAAGATCCCTCTGTCATTAATTGGTGCAGTTAAGCAGAATGCTTAAGCCAGAGAAGTGGCAGACAATTTTTGATAATGATGGCAAGGTCTGTGGTTTCAAGAAAGCCCTCAAGCTGATTGTTTTGGGGGTATGTATTTTCCTTAGTAGGTAGTTTGTTGCATATCTTCATATCATTTTCTTGTAAATCACTCATCCCAGAGATATACATGTTTACTTAGCAGTATAATGCTTTAGGAATCTCGGATTGCAATGGTGTTTGGCTTTAAGAGGCATGCCTTCATTTTTTTGATCGAATTTCAGTCAGTTTGATGTGTTGTCTTCTCCCTTCTCTCCTAGTTAGATACATTAGGAAGTGGTGAATACCATCATTGGTTGATTTAAATTTCTCGACTAAACCACATCTTCCCCCACACTTCTTCTAAAGGTAGTCATTATTGAATTTTACTGATATTCATAAATTTACTTCATGTTAGGGAATTGATCCATCTATAAGGGCAGAGGTCTGGGAATTTCTGCTTGGTTGTTATGCATTGGGAAGCACTGCTGAGTACCGCAGGCGTTTGCGAGCAGCACGGAGGTATAGGCTCTTTTCCCTCATTGTTTCTTACTGATTTATCTCTCGTAAGTGTGCATATTATTCTGATCAACTTGTGAATTAAAACCAACTGAATTTCCTTTGTTCAGTGAGTTTCTGTCTGATGGTTCTGTTTTTTCAAAAAAACGTTGAATTTCCAATTGTCATCATGCTTTTTTCTTCTGAAAAAAGTAGGAACCAGGGAAATAATTATAGAAGGAAGATATTCCTAGGGGTAGGAGAGGTGATTGGTCTTCCCAAACCATCTTGTTTGGATATATTGTGAGAATATTGTTTTCTTAATATTTACTTTTAGAGCTTTTGTATTTTACAAAGGCATATCATTTTCTTGATCACTTTGGAATCTCAATTATCATGGTTTGGTTCAAAAAGTTAGCTTCACTTATCCCTTCCACTCAAGAGTGCATAACTTAGTAATTGCAACTATTGAACATTATTGATGAACTGCTTTTTTTTTTTTTTTTAATTGGCATGATGAACTGCTTTCTTAATTCTTTGTTATGCATTTGTTGCAGTCAAGACACTGATTTTTTCATTTATAATTAACAGCTTCATGAAACTGTATGCAGGGAACGTTATCAAGACCTCATAAGGCAATGCCAAACAATGCATTCAAGCATTGGAACTGGTTCACTTGCCTATCCCGTGGGGTCCAAGGTTATGGATATGAGAATGTCCTCCAAAGATGAGGGGGAAAGGGAAGCTAGTGTCGAAAGACAATCTTCCATTGACAACACTGATAAAATAGAGAATTCTTGTGAATTGAGTAACAATTGTACAGATATGTCATGTGCATGCCAAAGGGAAATTTCCAGTGATCCCACTGATCTTGTCACTGTGAGGGAAAGTACAGATGGTGTCATGCATGACTCTTCTTGTTTTGTTCCTATTTCTGGTCTATACAGATGCAGTTCCCTTAAAACAGGGAGAGAATATCGTGGATCACATTTCATAACTGAAACATATATGGATTTTCCTCCTTTACCACTCACGGATTTGTTTGAGAGTGAAGAAGATGAGAATGAGTGTGTTCCATATGATGAAGAGTCTTCCCCACGGAGTAAATTGAGATTTGAGGATGATACTGTGCATAGTTTCCAAATTAATAACAATTCGGAGTTAATCATGGAATCAAATACTTTTTCACCATCTAAAAATTTTTCACATCCTTTTAAATCTGAAATCGAGTTGGTTGTTCCTGATTTACACCAATCAGTCTCGGAGTCCAGTGATCTGGGTTATAAAACAGAAATAGTCAACAGATTAAGAATATCAGATGTCTCAGAAACACCATTGGCTAATGCAACCACGTCTAAAGAAGGGGCAGAAAATGATGACAGAGTATCTGAATGGCTTTGGAATTTGCACCGAATAGGTAACTCAATAAGCTCATATTATGTGTGATGAAATTATATTTTTTTTCTCCATTCTCTATCAGCTGACAGGATTCTTCCTTTCTCAGTTGTTGATGTGGTGAGAACAGATAGTCATCTTGAGTTCTACAAGGACACAAGAAATCTAGCAAGGATGTCTGATATTCTTGCTGTTTATGCATGGGTTGATCCTGCAACTGGTTATTGTCAAGGTTGAACCCTTCTCTGGTTTCCAATTACCATTTATTAATGGTGCAAAGATTTTAATGTTAAAAATCACAAGTTAATTAAGTATTTTGGTTATGCAGGCATGAGTGATTTGCTGTCTCCTTTTGTTGTGCTCTTTGAGGATAATGGAGATGCATTTTGGTGCTTTGAGATGCTCATAAGGAGAATGGTATATAGACTTAGCAAATATGTTGAGTTAGATAATTTCTATTCTTTCACTAACATGTTTATACATGTCTTCAGCGTGAAAATTTTCAGATGGAAGGACCAACTGGAGTGATGAAGCAGTTGCAAGCATTGTGGCATATCTTGGAACTTACAGACAGGGAAATGTTTGCACACTTGTCAAATATTGGTGCTGAAAGCCTTCATTTTGCATTTCCAATG